GGAATATTTTTTCCGGCAGTGCAAATGATAAACACAGCCTAATAACAGTGTGAGAGTTATATTTAACCCTAAAACATATGAATTCTTTATTTTCTTAAAAGCATTCCTACCTTCTCAACATCCTGGAAAGGCTATTATGAAAGAAATGGGAAAAAGGCATCAGAAGAATATAGAATTCTGGTCTCCAAGCTAGAATTAGCTGAAGTGTTTTCCAATTACAAGTAAATTAAACTCAGTGCATCCCTGATTTAATAGAATCCTGTCATTTACATAAAGAGTTAATGACCCTGTAGTTGAGGGAGGCTGTAAGGTTTCATCAGCCAGGCTAAGATTATAAAGTCTTCTCATAATGTATTCATTGGTAACTTCCATTTACAACATCAGTCATGTTAGACACAATTAATTTTAGACAGTAATCATTTTCATTTTCTGTGTTAAGGGTACCCCAACATATGAATTGTAAAATTAATAATTATAGTGCTTTAATTGCAATCAATTTCCTGAACACCATTCCAGCATTCAAGCAAGGATTCTGCCTGTATACTGCAATTTAAGTTGTCTACAGTTGTTGTAAAATATGTGCTGACCTCAGTTTCCTCTTGTCTGTGTCGCTGTAATCGTTCCACATCATCTATCTCATAAACTTTAATTTCAAATGGCTCTTTTAAAGTGCCTGGCAAAGGTGGCAGATCAACCCATTGGCCAGTGACACTGGGTTTTCTTCCTAGGGAGGCAGCATCTGGCAATGGAGCAGGAATCAGTCTACGACGCTGGAGACCTAAAGTACAAAAGACAAATGTTCCTCAGACTCTGAGAGTATCAGACCACAAAAAGTACTGCAGTGAATGAATTAAAGACAGACCTAGGTTCTCAGGATACTTAGGAAGAAATGCTTTTCTTGATCTTTTCCTTTAAAAGTACAACACCCTCAGGCTCCTAATTGAGCTACCTCCTTAACAAACTATGTTCCACTTGGTTCACGGATGGGAGTAACACAGCAGTTCCTCTCCCAAAGCAGATGTCTGAGAATCAGTTCCGTATTCTGTCCTCGCAGAAATATTTTGCCTGGATTAATTTCTCTGTGGTGCACTGCAATAGTATTTGTTACCTTACAATGGCAATGAGATAGTCAGTAACTTCAAACCACTACTGATAATGGCAGTCTGGAAATCTCCTGCTCCTCCATTTAAAGCCAAGCAAGGCTATCTAAGATCCGTCTCACTGTATTAGCTCTTTGCAAAGAGCAAACAGTTCCCTCCAGAACTACTACTAATGCTTTAAGGTGATAAATACCAGCAGTCTCCAATGACTTTGTGGGATTAGGAGGCATTCTGAAGGCAGCAATCAACCAAGCTGCAACTTGAACCACCTCTGATGTCGAGGCCTATCACCACCCATTTGCACCAGCAATTAGAAGCTCAGAGCATGACAAACCTCACGAATTTGACAGGAAGGCTCCCAGATTTACGAACAAGCAGCGTACTACCACCCTGATGCATCTGCTAGGGCTCAAGTTTCATGAAACAGAGACTAACTTATGTCCTTCAAAAATGCTGGTACTTTCATGTACAAGAGTTGGCACTCTGGCATCTAGCACTTTTTTGCAATTATAAGTCTCTCTTCATGCCCTAAAAGGCCGGCCTTTTCAGTACATGCGTCAAGGATGAATACATGCATAGAGCTGGTCAGGCAACGTTAACAAGGCTGCAGCCCAATGTGTAGGTAAATAGGAGGGCTGAAGGCCACCAGAAACCAACTGAAATGTCACATGGTAGAAAAAAGTTTTAGCAGCTTTCGGGTGACTAGTGACAATAAATTTACTGTCTAATTTCCTCCTCTTATTGAAAACCAAATCAGAGGTAAGGAGTCTTACATCTATCTTCTGGTCTTCTTACGAAGGGAGCACATCAAACAGACGAGACAGTGCTGCTCAGAGGACAGTGCTGCCAAAATAACATCTGGGCTGAGACCTCTACAGGAGAGTTAGGTGCAAGTTAAGGCTGTCAGATAAACCCTGTCACAAACTTCAACATGAAACGGAGGTAAAATACCAGCAGGTACCCCCAAGAGCAACACACCTCCATAGATACCTGAAGAGCTACCTGCTTTAAATATTCTTAAGAAAAACATCCCTAATTCTTAATTGCAACCTTGCTGATTTCTAAGTAACAAGAACAATCACAATGGGAATGTTTTGAAAAGTAGAAGACTTGATTCGTCTTCTTCTACAGAAGAAGACTTCTACAACACCAGTTCATCATTCTCACAATCCCAGTTCATTCAGCCTGAATCACCACTACAGTCCTGCCTGCTGAAATCACCCACTGTAACTCTGATCCAGTAATCACTTTTCTGAGAGCAGGATCCCTCTGAAGAGGACAGCAAACAGATGCAAACACATACGCTAAGCAGACAAACTTCACATTCTTCCACTGTACCATCCAGGGTCTATGTAATTTCTTCAAGGATGAAGTTAAAGGATAAGGGGATAAGGTTTCTAGTGACATATATGGGAGTAGGATCTGTCCTTAAATCCAGAGATTGCATGACTCCAACACAGTTCAGAGCAAAGAAAGATACTCCAGGAATCTCTAACGCTTTGCAAAGGTTACAATATATTATAGGCCAATAATGGGTCTGCACCAAACATTTCTTGCAAGAAATATTTCATGAACTTCCTAGGAAACCTCATGTCATGTATAAAACACATTACTGTCTCAAAGTCTACAGCACTTCGAAAAAGTAATACATAATTTACTGATATAGAGCAATTTCAATCGGAAAAAGAAATAGTTCGTCATTTTTAAAGACTTTATAAGCATTTCCTGGGGCAAAACCAAATACAAATCCATCAGCAGGTAATGCCTTCTCAATATGTGTGCAACTTATACAGCTGTTAATATTGATTTGTAGGAAAGGTTTAAGAGGTTGGTATGCTATGGAAAGAGAACTGCAGCAAATGTTGCACTAAGTTTCCAAAATGATTTATCACCTGCTGAAGCAACTCAGTTGCTTTGACCAGAAAGCACCATGAGATCTACGTCAGTTTAACTCATTTGGTTTTACTGCCAGAATCGAGCATCATGGGTGTCTATAGGGATTGCAATAATTACCACTTTCCAACCAAAAGCTCAGATTCAGCGCATTGCTGATACTAGTTCCTACTATATTTCCAACAGTCAGTATGCTTAGGTTGCTGAATGAGGCTGCTGGTCATTAGCTACATGGCCCTGATTGCCATCGATTCCTTACAATACAACGAGACTTCAACCTAGATCAGTAAAAATGAATACGGTAACAGCATATCGTACAAGCCTCATTTTGAAGCTAGCTACAACTAGCGGCACTTATATGAGCACCACCTGAGAAAGCAATAAGGAAAGGCACCAGAGAGCAGGAGAGAGGACCTGGCTCTCCTACGCCCACCTTGGCACGGCGTGGTGGGACATGTCTGCCTTGGCACAGTACGTCAGCCAGAGCCACCTCTTCTGACCAACTCCCCAGTAGGTTTCCTGTTGCTTATAGTATCCACATGTACAATCTAAAATTTGTTTATAAAAACACTATTACAGTGCAATACAATAATTTTGCAATTAGCTGGCAACATTAACTTAAGAGTCGCTGCATCTTATGTACGCGCCCTACTGTTCTGCCTCTAAGCCTTACCTTTGGGTAACCTAGTGCACATTCAGCAATCCTCATTAATTCACAAACGCTCTTCTCCCCTCCAGGCCTACTCCCTTGTTTCCAAACTGCAGTCCCAGCCCATCTCACTGAAATTCCCTCACGGACGCCTGGCAGCAGAGCTCTTCCTCTCACCGATCTTCCCTGACATTCGCTCGATCCTCAAAAAAACTCACCAGCACCCACCCATACCCTCACTCTTCCCAACCCACCCGTAACACCCCCCTGTTTTGGGCCGCCGCGGTGCTGCGCTTGCTGCCGACCCTGCTGAGGGAGGGAGGAACGTCTCTCCCGCCCGCCGGCGGCCCAGTGCGCCCCCCCCCCAAAATGCCGGGGCCCTGGGGCGCCTCTCCTGCCCTCTCCGCCGCAGCACCTGCGTCACACCTGCAGCTTTGAAGTGAAATAAATGACAAGTAGCTGCTGTCACAGCCATGCGTGTGCACACGCAAGCACATGCAGACGGTCCACCTCCCTGCTTTGAGTCCCCCCAAAACCTCCTCTCCCTCTCTGTCGGAGATGCCATGAAAACCCCCCAGTCTTCAGGGAGGCAGTGGAGCGCCCGTGGACACCTGGCCACCTTCCCCCCTTCGCTTCTTACCTGTCGATCGTTTCTTGGGTGACTTGAGGCTCCTCATCCGGCCCGGCGACGACATCCCGCTTTCGCTCATGGAGTCGTGCGCCGAGGAGGCACTGCCGGTGGCCT